TTATGATAATTTCAAAGTTCCCAAATAGTTTTGTTACAAATTGAGTTCCAAGATTATTTAAAACTGATCCCATCACTTTTATGAGCTTGTGATAAAAAAGTCATATCAATGTTATAGTAAATAAATATGTCATAAAATCCTTAAGGTTCAATCTATTTCCTATCACTTGGCCTTTCATATAAATGTGCATAAAGGATTGTTATAGGATAGAGATGACCAAGTTATTCAAGTAAGATTCAATTAAAGATACACATTTAGAGTCATTTATTTTCAATAGCCATATTGCAAATTCTTAGTAAGATTTTAAGATTTTATTTTCAATAACTCTTAGTAAGATTTATTGTTAACACTTGGGTAATAATTGTTTCAGAACTTATCTATGAAAAAAATAGAATTAATAAAAAAATTCAATACTAGGACTTGCTCATTTGAGAAATAATTAGAGTACCCTAATGTGGAAAAACAAGTAAAATGCTTATAATTTTTAAACTTCTGCACAACCATTTGTGTTTACCATAGTATTTAACTCAAATGCATTTTTGTTGCATGTTCATATAAACTTTGCTCCTAATGTAAAAGACAACTCCTCTCTCCACTAACAGAAACTTTAAAAACTTTGTTTAGACCACCATTGTAGACAATTTTAATAGCTTGTCAATTAACTTACATTTCATCATTCATGAAACTATAAAATGTTGATTGTATTGAAGATCCTGTTCCAACTTAATATGTTTTGTTTAGTAGTATTCCCCCCCCCCCTCCCAAAAAAAAAAAAATTGAACTAATGTGTCCTCTCCTTTCATATCACATATAGATATCACCATCAAAAATTACACTTTACATAAGAGAACATTATTAGCATAATAACTTAATAATTGCATATTTACCTAGGGTTATACACAATGGTAGTCATTATAGACTATTTGTTAATTCAATATATATAGTCAAAGTACACCTATAAGTATTGCTTGGTTAAATCCATTTAATGAGATCAACTCCACTTCCAATACCATTTAAAAACATAACATTATTTCTCAACTTCAACTTACATTAATCCTAGAAAAGCAATGCTTTGAAAGGAATTGTAGTTGAATTCACTTTTGAGCTTTAAAATTGCATTGAGATTTGAGGACTTCTAAAAAAAAACTAGATTTCCTTTTGGAGTTCTTTATAACATTTCATATTTTGCAAAGATATTTTAAAGTAAGCACAAAATAATATTTTAAGTTATATTTTTATTTATTGGTAAGCACCAAAAGATTATTATCAATTATTAAGGTGAAATAGTCAGAGTGTTTCCAACTTAAAGACATTTTGAAAAATCAACTTGTTTATTGCTTTAGTAACTATAATTACAAGTTAAGCTATTGGAAATTGATCTACTACCTTTGAAATAACAAATGTAGATTCCAAGCATGTTCTACTCATCTATGTTAACTTGTCATATTATTTAAGATTAATATAAAAAATGTGAACTCCACATTCTCTTTCATATTATGGAAACTCCATGCAAAAATGATATTTGACAAAACAAAACTACTCTATAAGTACCTTACCACATTTAAGTTGAATATGCTTTCCTGGGCAAGGAAGGCCATGGATGGCTCTACAATCTGCTTGTGCCCCCACCACTGCTGGGATGCCCAGGGATCTCGATTTTCTGCTCGAGGCCTATGACGAGGGACGAGTGAACTGCCCACTCGACTTCAATCTTGGCCTCGCCAGCGAGGAAGCTAGCCAAAGTGACACTGTTTCTGTCAAGGAATCTCATCCCCGCGTGGCTCATGGAACCATGCGCATTCCTCACGTTTGAGGAGAACTTGGATATAAGGGTCCAAGTAGTCCGGCTCTGGCTAAGTGCGTCCAAGCTACCACTTTATGTTGGATGCCCGACAACTTGTAAGTTCTTGATTGGTTTTTGGATGATCTAGCTAAAGCTCGAGAATTTGGGATGTTTCAGTTGAGGAGCTCAGGCAAATGGCAGTGCCACCGGCGGAACCACTGGTGCATGCCTATCAGCGTTGTCTCCCTCATTGTGATCTGGAACTTGGATGGGAGGTTCTCTTCTAAAGCGAAGTCAGTTATTTTGGAACTCGAAAAGATTTCCAATGGTTTCGTAATTTAATCACGTTTGATTGCAGGTGCAAAACCATGGGCTGTCTCTTCAGCATCCGGCGCCTAACGACTTGCCCGAGACTTGCCCGGCCTTCTTCAAGTGTTACGCGAAGGTACGTTACCCCATCACGAAAACCGAGGGAGGCTCCCCGTCCTGATGTCGAGGTTGACAAGATTGAGTTTGAGGAGGGCGTGGAAGACGATTTATGTGATTTCAAGTTCAGTGAAACACCGCGGATGTACAGGCGGCTTGCTGCATTGATCTACTCCAGGGACGTTTCCAGGGACGTTTGAGGTTACTACAAGGAGTTGCATCTTGTCTTTTCTTTCTTTTTTGCTCGGTAAGACGAGAACACGCATTTAAGAAGGTTTTATTTGCGGGCAAATGCTTGTCGATCGCCACCATTGGCTCGGGGATCTCATCGCTTAGATCACTCTTTGTGTTTTCTGTCCTTTGCTTATGGTGTTCGCAGAGCAGAGTTTCACGACAGGCTTCTCTACACCAAGTCCGAAAATAACTTCATGGTAGAGAGGGAAAATCACAGACACAGTGGTCTCCAATCCAGAGCCAGAGAGTGAGGGCCAGTTTATGGGATCGTTGCAAACAAGGGATGTGCGCCCTCTGACGTGAGATTAAATGTTCACAATGAAGAACTCTGGCCCCAGTAGAAGATAAAAGTCCTCGAGGATGAGACATCAATCTTTGTTTCGTTTCGTTTTTTTCTTTTTTCTATGATCCGGCTCTTACCCCGAAGACGAAGCTATAGTTGACATCAGTGGACGCTCAATCTCTGGAAGAAAACTGCTGCGAGTGACAATCGCCTCCTGCCGCCATGATCTTGCCGAAAACTCGGCTGGCAGTTGCCGGATCCCAAAAGAGACCTTACCATACGTTGGCCATCTCCGTCCGAGCTGAGCACATTGGCGTAATAAGGCGAGTGCATCATCGATGAACGCCATTCTTCAAGCCTACCGTGAGTGGAATTCGTCCACTATGGCTCCAGGAGTTGTTGGACTTTGACCCAGCCATGATGTCGTGGCACTCGTTGTGGCACCATAGCTGCTCAGGGGAATTAACGACTCTCCAGTTCTAGGAGGCCAGATCAGCAGTCGCTGATACCTCATACCGAAGCTGTGATGGTTTGCATTGAGCACGCAGTGATGTGGCTCTGCAAATCGAAGCTTCGGGTTTTCTACCCGCTTGCTGTAACTTGTAAGGTTTTCCAAGTTTGTAAGCTTTCTAGGTCCGTGCTGTAATGTTTTTGATGCTTACCTTGCAGACCAAGATATAGCAAAACTTCCCATCAATGTTCCAAAGGTTTTGGTACGTCGCTATTGAAATGTACCATGTGCCAATCAAACAGGAACGTTTGTATCATCCCATCACCTCTGGAACGAGGGCTCCGGGTTATAGCCATCGATGACAGGTTGCCTATTATTTCTTTTTCGGGAGCCACCTAGCCATCCTTTTACCTGAATGTTTACATGGAGCAATGCTGAATGTTTACATGGAGTATCTTTGATGATTTTGGCAGTGCAAGTCTGAGATGTCTTCGTCCGCGGAATACCATCACAAAGTAGGTTTAAACTTTCTAGATTGACCGGGCAAGATATATTTTGCCTTGTCCATCACTAACATCCAGGAGCGGAGAGCATCCAAAGGTACCATGCCTCACGCTCACGGATTGGGCGATGGACTGGGGCTTTCCGAGGCCAACTCTTCTCGTGATGGGAAATTCTATAGGTCAACAGTTACACTTACGGATGTTTCTTGTAAAGAGAGGGAGAGAGAGAGAGATGTTATGGTCACTGCGGCGCCCGGTGGGGCATTGGACCTTTCCGATTTTGTATTGAGGCGATGACTGGCTGGTGTCAATGATGACTGGAGTTGGTGTGACGGAGATCAGTCTTGCAGTCAAGCGCTTACGCTGAGAATGGTTCTGTTAGGCATCGGAGGAAGTGCTTCCAGCCGTTTCGGTCGAGAAAGTCCCAAGCAAGGAGGTTATGAAGCGGAGTTCGGGGAAGGAGAGTTGCAGGCGAGTGTATGCCAGGCATCAAAAGATTGTGCGCTCTTTGTCTTTGACCTGATCTGTTGGCAGATTGGGCGGGTGGGCGGGTGTTGCTGTGAAGATTACCTCTTAGTGTGCGTCGAGCTCATTTCTCGACTTTCTATTCGAACACGCTTGGGCAGCATGGAAAACGTCGGTGCTTTTGTGAAGTTTTTATGGTGATAACAATGACTTTGCTGCCACCTCGATGCAATTGATGAGACATGCTGCAAGCTGTGTTGTTGCGGTTGAGCTTCGCTCTCGTAGCTTCTCCATGTCGCTCCAGATTGTGGTAGCTTCTCCCTAGCTTCTCTGCTTCAGAAAAGTTTGGAGAAATCAAACACGGCATCAACCTATAGAAGGAACCGTTCCATTCTAGAACTTTATGTGTCAGGAGGGAATTTTATGGTGACAAACATAAACAGTTTATGCTTGCAACCACTGCTCGATCTTCTAAAACACGATGAAATTTATTCTAAACGAATGGGGCATTCCGAGAATTGAACTCGGGACCTCTCGCACCCTAAGCGAGAATCATACCACTAGACCAGATGCCCATTAACACTTTAGTCGTTCTTCCGTGATCCGCGGAACGCGAAATAAAATCTTTTAAACAGTTGGAAGTGAATGTGGCACCGCCTTTGGCACGCCACATTACAATCCAAATCCAACACCTGCCCTCGCAATGCTGCACGGGGCCCCATTTCTGATTGAAAAAAAAAAAAAAGCATCAGCACCACGGAAGCAAACGATCTTCGAGAAAAGCTCTTCCACAAAACCAAATCTTTGCGCAACACCACAACTAACGCAGAGAGATGGCGATGGCGATGTCATCGATTCCATAAAACGAGCGCTTTTATTTACCATTTGTTTTGTTTATACACACTTAGCAAATATCTTACACCATCCGTGTAGCGCTTCTTCGTCTTGGCCATCAAGAGTGAGGGCAAAAAAACAAGCTTTTTCCCATGGCTTCCTCGCATACTTTTAGCAACCGGTGCCTTGGTTCTGTTTTATCTAGTAGCGAATAAGTAGCGTAGACATATATGATCAAGCCGAGCCTTTGTCTGAGAAGAGATCTAGCAGCATCAACGTCTGCAACCGACGAAAGAACAAACCAAAGGGATGAGAAACAAAATCAAGAGCCGAGAGAGGACAGCACACCTCTGGGACGGACAATTGGAGACGAAACTTGGGACCGTCGTAGTGATGGAGCACGGGGCGGAAAGCATCCTCCTCCAGAGGCTTGTAGTTCATTCTAACTCTTATGCGAACCTGGAGAGGACAAAGCGAGAGAAAGTTAAGCCCGGATCCTCACACACGCTCGAGAAGCAAATGAGAAAGAAGTGAAGACAAACCTGTGCAGGGAACCGAGATTCTCCACGACACTTCTTGTCTTCCCACGCAGTAGGATCTATGTTTGAGCCCCCAAAACTCGCAGCCTGTAGAGTCACGCAAAAGTTTGGACTCGCCATCAACATGAGTGTCACAAATCCTGCGAGAGAGGTAGCTTTACCTCGTACACCCCGTGAAGCTGGTGCGTAGTATAGTTGTAAAGAAACAAAGGCAGGCCCGGCTGGATAGCACGAACAGAGTCACGGTACCTTTGAGGCAAGCCTGAAAGCGCAAAAGAAAAAAAAACAAGCTTTCAGTCATAGCTACGAAGAAAGACAGAGAAATAACGAGAGAGGACTTACCAAAGAGCTGGCGCTTGAGGTCCTCTTGCATGGTATCATTGTTGCAAACAAAGATATAGCCACCAAGCGTTTCATTCCGTGGTAGCATCTCCGACGGTGGAAGCGTCTTGAAACGCTTGTCAAGCCCCGAGGATCCCTGCTGCTTCTCTAGATTCGCTTGCTTCTGCTCGAGGAACGACTGCTTTGGATTCCCGAGTCCGACACCACCACCGCGCTTGAGATCGCTGGCCACTTTCTTCACCTCGTTGACAGTGATCCGCGGCTTGGGGTCAAACTTTTGCTTGCCCAGGACTGGTAGCTGCGCCTGGTGGTGCTGCTTGAAAGCCTGGAGCGATTGGAGCGAGGGAGTGCCTCGCCATTTCCAATCCACCGCCTTGTGATCTACCGGCTCGTCCGGCAAGTTCCAGAAGGTCGCCAGTGTGCCCGGCTTCCAAATTCCACACTGCAAGACACCACCAGATTTTTAGCCCTCTGCGAAGAGAATCTCAAGAAAACCGGCACTAGAATGGAATGCACTTGCGGCCAAGCACAAAGAGCTAAGATTCTACCGAGCAAGGGTTTGTAGATCTGGAAGATCTCACCTGAGCTTAGAAATCGACGCGCAAAGCGGCGGCTACCCTGGAAATCGTAGATCGAGCTGCCGGAGGTGATGATAGATCGCTGCGCACGCCCTCCACAGTCGTCCCTGGCGATGGCCCGTGAAACCGCGTTCTTACGCGCACAGAAAAAATAGAAGGGGCAAAATAGCTTACACGTAGAAGAACTAGTCAAACGTCGCGGGTTCGATTCCTTCCAGCCCATCCGGCCAGGGTTCGAATCTCACTAGCATAAACTTAACTGTTAAGTACAAGTTAAAAGCTTAACCGGAAAATTATTTAACCCAATTATTTCCAGGGTTCGAATCTCTGTAGCGTAAACTTAACTTTTAAGTTTCGAACGAACAAAACTTAACTTTAAGTTAGAGAGATCCGCATACTCCCAAAAAAGAGTATATTCATAATAACCGGCCAAATATTTAAAGGAATTAACTTTTACACAATTTTTAAGCCATAACAAAACCTTTCGTTCAATAGGAAGCAAACAAACAGAGGGAGGAGAGAGAGAGAGAGGTGGAGATAGACGCCGACGACGCTAAAACGCGAATCCTTTGTTTTCTCCTCTCTTACTCGAACGCCCACTGGTTCTCCCGCCGGACCTCCTCCTCTTCCTCGGGCGTGAAATCGTTCTTGATGTTGAAAGTCTTGCGGATCTCCTCCGGGGTCTTGCCCTTGATCATGTCCGCCACGGTTTGGCACGTCAGATCCAGCAAGTTCCGGATGTTGAGATAGTTCGCGGCCTGGAACAACGCAAAACCAGATCACCCAAATCGATTGTCAGTCGAAAGCTCAAGACCCAAAACGAGAAAAGCGAGAGAAAAAGGGGGGAAGAAATCGAACGAAGAAATCCTACCAGGATGAGGTCGAAGAGCGTCGCCTGATCGACCTTGACGAACTCGGCGTCCCAGGCCTTGATCTCCTCCTCGGTGGGCACGACCTTGGAGTCGTCGCCGCTCTTCTGGGCATCGACGTGGTACTTGGAGTACTCGATCACCTTGGCCAGGATCTTGCTTGGGACGTTGGGCAAGGGTATCGGCGCGTCCGACCCAGTGTCCTCGATCATGTTCTTCACCGTCTGGGACTCGAGCGCCACGGCCTCGTCCACCTCAAACATCTCGCCATCGCTGCTGCGGAGCTTTACCTTGGTCGACATCCTCCTCGCTCTCTCTCTTTCCCTACCCTTGCAACCCTAACAACGCCTCTCTTAGTACGAACGCTTTCCTTATCTCGGCCTTTTCTAGACTTGTGGCCCGGATTCGAACCCGGGACTAGGCAAAACGTACTAAAATAAATGAAAAGGACTTTTTCCCTGCCTTCACGGAGGATTGAACTCCAGACCTTGAGTTTACAAGACTGACGCTCTACCACTGAGGTATAAAGGCATTTGCACGAAAAGACTCAGTTGACTACCATTGACTCTTTGACTAGCCAAAGGGTCTTTTTAGTAAATGCCTCCATGGAGGATTGAACTCCAGGCCTTCAGTTTACAAGACTGACGCTCTACCACTGAGCTATAAAGGCATTTCCGAAAGTCCCCCGTTTTGACCGTCCTTTGACTCGCTAGGGCGAGCAAGATCGTTGACCGATATTCTCTTAATTCACAATAAGACGATCTCGCGTTATTTTTGATGAGACGATATACCTCGTCCTCAAAAGGTGCGGAGGCGGAGCTGGATATGGCGTAGCTTCCATGCTTGGCACATCGAGGCCCGGGTATATAAACACTTTATACAAGAGTGTCAAGCACAGATCACGGCGCAGTAGTTCTCTGATCAATCCTTTTGGGAAGTTCTTCGGGGATCCCTCGCTCCAATCTTCGTGGAAGAGTTTACTACAATCGCAATGGCCTTGATCGCGTCCTTGACCAACAAAATGCTGCTGCTGCTGCTCGTCGCTGCTCTCATGGCCGCGGTGGTGGTCGACTCCTCCAGGATGATCCAGCGTCTCGACGATGTGGTTTTGCTCTCGCCACCAACGGGGCCTAATCCGGGCGGGAACTCGAAGGATCTGGACGAGGTGGCAATGGAATTCATCTCTCCGCCAACCGGTCCCAGCCCTGGTGGTAACGGTGGATCGCAGTTTGAGGTCTCGAAGCCCCGGACGCCATCTCCTCCGGCCGGTCCGAGCCCAGTCCACAATGGAGAGGGCCAGTTCGTCGTCTCCAAGCCCCGCACAACGCCATCTCCTCCGGCCGGTCCGAGCCCAGTCCACAATGGAGAGGGCCCGTTCGTCGTCTCCAAGCCCCGCACAACGCCATCTCCTCCGGCCGGTCCCAGCCCAGTCCACAATGGAGAAGGCCCGTTCGTCGTCTCCAAGCCCCGCACAACGCCATCTCCTCCGGCCGGTCCGAGCCCAGTTCACAATGGAGAAGGCCCGTTCGTCGTCTCCAAGCCCCGCACAACGCCATCTCCTCCGGCCGGTCCGAGCCCAGTTCACAATGGAGAAGGCCAGTTCGTCGTCTCCAAGCCCAAGGTTACGCCATCGCCTCCGTCCGGTCCCAGCCCCGTCCACGACGAGATCGATCTTCACTTGGTTCCAGCGGGTCCGAATCCACTCCACAACTTTGGAACCGTGTTCCATAGCGTTCCGGAGGGGCCAGATCCAGTTGGAAACTAGGGTGGAGCTATGGTGGTTTTGCTTCTATTGATTTTTTTTTCTTGCCATTCATGCTTGTTTCTTAATCGTCGCCCAACACTTCGTTATTTTCTGGCTCAATTGCATCCTCTCTTGGATAAATCTTGTAATTACTTGCAAAGAAATTGACAATGCTGAATTAAATCGCCCCAGTGTTCTTTGAGATTTCTGGCGCTAATTTGTTCTCGGAATTTCTGACAACATGCTCGAACGGCAAAGTTGGCGCTAAATTTAAAAACAAACGAGAGGGATATTCGTCCCTTTGTGCTAGATTTAGGGTTCTTTCATGAGACAGTGGCTATGGCGGAATGCCGCTGCTGCGCGAGCTGGGATATCTGGCTTTCGATCGCGGGGCCTCTCCAGCTGCGCTCTATTCGGCGTTGAGAGCAGCGCGCCGTGCGTGCGCGATTTTCTTGCCCGGCGTCAAGACGCGAAGCACAGCTTGATCTTTGTGAGGCACAAGAAGCTCCGGCTTGGGCCTACGACGAACAAGGTTCTGGCGCTGGAGAATGTGGCAAGTTGGAAGTAAGTTTCGATGCTTTCGGGGCGTGTGGAGTTAGATCTGATTGATTGAACTACGATTTTTTCCAGAGCAGGCAGAATGAAGTTCCGAATGAAAGAACTAAAGCGCCTTATGATGTGCTCCCGAGAAGAACTAAGATGCAAAGAGCACGGGACTTGGTGGATGCAGTAAGTTCTTCACTCTCTATTTTTCTTTTTATTTCTTCTGGATCTTTCAGAACTTCGTGCACAGGTTTTGCCACTGCCCGATGTCAAAGAGGAGATTTGGGCCGCTTGCGATACATGGATTGCCTGGGAGCTAAGATTTCCTCTGCATACAATCAAGATGGCCACTCACAGGCTCTTCCGGCTGAAACAATGGCGCAGAGTTATTCACGTAAGTTCTGTGAGTTCTCTGTTCTATCTGACTGGAAAAACGTCACAGGTGATCAAGTGGATGTTTAGCAAAGGCCATGGCTTTACAATGAACACTTATGGATGTCTCCTCCGGGCTTTGGACATTGATGGCAGGGTGGACGAGGTTGAGCACATCTGGCATACTTTTGTGGTGACGAAACAAGAGAGCGTCCCCAGAGTTATGTATGCTCGAATGATCACGATGTATGATCGGCGAGCATTGCCAGACAAAGCTATCAAGGTAGGTATACGAAACGTTTTGCGATCGTGGTGGTGACGCGTTTGTTTTGTGGTCGTAGATGTTTAAAGAGCTGGAGCTTTCAGGAACGAGGCCGGACCCAGCGACAATAATCAGGATCGGGAAGATTTATGAGAAGCTCGGTTTCACGAATAAGACGGCGGAGCTACTCGAGAAGCACAAGCCAACGAAGAGGTTCATATCGTTTAAGTTCAGGTGAGCATTGTGATTGGGCTTGGCGTAAGTTCTTACGCTTGTGATCCTGCGGCTGCTCAGAACGAAGAGTCACAAATTCATGGGAGTCCCGGGCCATGACAGGAGGCGACTAACTTCTTCGGAGAAACAGAAAAAGAGGAAACTTAGAGAACGTCTTGCTACGATCATAGACTTTAGCTGAGGCGAGCTTCTGGTCTTCTACTTTTTCTTCTTGATCTAGAAAAGTTTCTATAGATCAAAAGCGATTTTTTTTTCCCGTTAGTAAGTCATGGAAGTCCATCATCAGCAAATCCATCCTTTGGCCGGCAGTGGTGCGAAAACAGTGGCGACAAGGAATCACCTCGGGTTATGACCAGCTCCTTCTCTCACGGCGACTGCTGCCATCCATCACGGCCCAACAACAGCGTGAAGTTTGCAAACCGCGACAATTTCATTTCGCTCAACAACTCGTTGCTTCTGCTGGTGGCCTGGTATGCATCGTCAGGACGCCAAAGTTGGTCGTCCATCCTTCTGATGACGAGTTGCCCACATGGTGGTGGGCAATCCACTGACCCAAGAGTAGCACCACTCGATTCTATGATCTCACCATCCTGGGATTTTACGACTTTGGCCGCGCCAGGTGGAGCACCGGGGAAGTCGTGCACAACCTGAGGATTACAGCGGGCCTGGAGGACAAGATTGAACGAGATGGAGATTTCCTGCGCTGCGTTTTACCACTCCCAGGACTGTGCACCACGAGGCTGTGGGAGCACAATGGCCAGCGATACTTTGCAAGCGGCTGGGCGTATGCAGGAGGCAACCGTGAGTCGGGGGACTGCGGAGTTGATGGGTATGGTTGATGACAAGGGTGGCTTGGTTACAGTCTCGGCAGTGCTTTATGAAGCCATGCTTGATCAAACTAGTGTATCCCGGGCGCTACACAGTCGGAATCGTTTATTGTTGTTCTATCCACGTAGAGGGCAATCTCGTCATCTTTTTTTGAAGGGAAGGTGTTGATTTACGACTTGAGCACTTGGCTCTGGGGCGGGGTGGGCGGGCATTTCCAGCGGCAGTGGTTTATCGCCCTTAAAAGAAAAGAAAGAAAGCTTCGCTCGTAATTGATTCTTCGCTTGATGGGAACTTGAGGAGGAATGTACTTAGCACTGGAGGCACGCCATCGCCATTCCTCATCCTTGCCACTGGAGTGATCATTCTCACCGGGTTGCTCTTCCGGGTAAAATACAAGGAGGAGTGATTTTCCGACAGTTCCGTAGCAGCATGGCCGAGACGATCACTGACCATGTTTGGGAGTCTTGCTCCGGAGATAACGAGCAGTGAGTACACCAATGTTTCTCTCATGCTCTTCTCTTTTTTTCCCAGTTTATCCTTTTTCACGGAGCATCTCTGGCACCGCTTGTCTCGTCGGGATGATTTCCGGTGCTAATTTTATGGCAGGCGTTGCTTCGTGAAACTGGGGCCCGTCCTGGAGGCTTCTTTTGGTTCTTATGTGTACGTTTTTCTGCAGAGGCAATATGAAAAGAGGATGGTCTAGCTGTTTACAACCTTATTTCTTCTCTCTACAGCCTAGGGTTAATTAACTTTCTCTTTTTTTTTTTCGGTTTAACACAATTGTTCTTGAATGAAACAATGGAGGGGTCAAATGGAAATGAAGATCACTAAACACTGTAGTAAAGGAGGCAAAACGAGGTGATCTGGCACTGAACGCTTTGCAGAGGCGACGACCCCAGCAGCCTCAGTTGGAAGGCAGTGATCACCATTAAGCAAGAGATAGCACGATGGTTTTGTTGAGAGAGTAGCACCATGAGTGAATCTTTGTTGTATTAATCCCTAAGGGACATTGAGTAATGTATATACACGTTGCATTGAATGAACAGTGACCTGGTCTATGATCTCTTGTACCACTGATTCCAGGAAATGGATGTAGCCACTATTTTGTAGAAAGAACGAAATGAGTTTCTGGTAGAAAACCTCCGTAGGATCTATATAACTTATAATAAAGTTACCAAACTACATGATTCATAAGAGCCTGCTACGATCAAGTATATTGATTTTTGTATTTCAAACTCTTCTAGGCATTTCCTTAGGATGGAGCAGAAAAACAAGCGCCTGTGTTGGAGCAAGATGACATTTTGGAGACGGTTCTCAGCTTTCCACCATTTACAAGTCATGGAAGTGCATCATCAACCCACTCTTTCGCCGCCGCCAGTGCCAAAACAGAAAGATAGCGTTCAGAAGCCATGTTTGTCGGATTCAAAGTCGGTCTGCACTAGACCGTCGCCTCGGGCCACTGGTGCTGCATACTCGGCAACACAAGCGTGGTTCTTTGCCCGTTCTCGCTCTCCCGAGCCTACGTCAAAGATTAGGGAGCGTCCTGAAATCGATGACGACCCTCACTCTCCTGGGATCGCCATGCAGACAAGGGTGGACACCAGCGCTGTGTTTTGCTCCCGGGAGTGTGCATGAAAAGGCTGTGGGGGTACAATGGCCAGCGATACTTTGCAAGCGGCTGGGTGTATGACAGTGAGCTATGGAAGTCCAGATTTGATGGCTATAGGCTTTCGTGCAGGGAAGAATATACGTAAACTTGGAAACCTAGAATATTAGGGTTTATGAGAGATGAAGCGCAGGCGCAAATTCCAGGACTACCTGGAGATGGAGCTGGGCAAGGATGCGTCCACGGCCGCCGGCGAGGCCGCATTCCAGCGGCGCCTCGCGAAGCAGCTCAAGCTCAAGCGTGGGAAGCTGGACGATGTCGGCGATGGACTGGCGGGATTGCTGGCAGGAATCGGCAGCGAGGGCTTGTCCTCTGATGAACAAGGCTCTCATCCAGGTGATTTGCAAGGGGAGAATGATCACTCCAGTGACAAGGATGAGGATTCCGATGGCGATGGAGATGACGATGGCGATGGCGGTGACGGTGATCGTTCTAGTGGTGAAAGCGAGTCCGGTGAGCAATCTAGTTCTGGCGATGAATTGGAGGCTGAGCCGGAGCAAGCCTCCAGTGCTAAGTACGTTCCTCCTCACCAGCGAAAGAAAGATCCTTCCGAGGATGAAGTTCGCGTCAAACGAAGAATCAAAGGTACGTTCGCATGAGCAAAGCTTTTTCCTTTCTTGCTTAGTTCTTTGCTTCATTCATCCAGGTCTCTTAAATCGACTCTCGGAAGATAATGTGGAGACTCTAACATCGGAGATTGCCGAGTTCTTCCAGGTAAAAAGCACTTGAAAGTCCTGTTGTTTCTACGAGAGGAGTGATTTTTTGACAGTTCCATAGCAGGAGCTTCATGACCGAGACGATCACTGACCATGTTTTGGAGTCTTGCTCCAGTGGTCCCCGCGGTAACGAGCAGTGAGTACAACAATGTTTCTCTCATGCTCTTCTCTCTGTCCTCACATATTATACTTTTTCATGGCTAAAGGTACGCAGCAGTCTTTGCAGCGAGCATCTCTGGCACCGCTTGTCTCGTCGGGATGGATTTCGGTGCTAATTTTATGGCGGGCGTTGCTTCGTGCTTTGAGGTGAAACTAGTGCCCGTCTTGGAGCCTTCTTTCGATTCTTATGTGTACCTTTTTCTGCAGAGACAATATGAAAAGAAGGATGGTCTAGCTGTTCGCAACCTTACGCTACTTATTTCTTCGCTCTACAGCCTGGGGTTGATTACAAGGTGCTCTTGTGTGAATTTATATATATTCGGTTAACACAATTGTTTTTGAATGAAACAGCGAGCTGGTCTACGATCTCTTGCACCATCTCTGCAAACGATTCCAGGAAATAGATGTCGCCACTATTTTGCACATTATTCGAAGTAAGAACACTAGAGAATGAGCGGCTGGAAATGAGTTCTTATTAACATGTATGAAGGTTGTGGAATGGGGCTTAGGACCAGCGATCCAGTAGCGATGAAAGAGTTTATTCTTGCTGTTCAAGAACGCACGTCGGATTTAAAGCGTTCCACGACCGATGGAGAAATGCCCAAACGAGTAAGCAGTTGTCAAAACGTTTTGTGTCTGTTTTGACACGCACGGATCTCTTGCAGGTGGAATTTATGCTCGAGGCGATTTGCGAAGTTAAAAACAATAAGCGTAGAGTAGATGAACCAGCTCGGCATCCAAGGATGAAGAAGTGGCTTCAAAAGGTGTGTATCACCTTACATGTTTTCACTCATAAACTTTGTTAGTGTAGCTGAAAGTCGAGGACGTGCAACTGCGGTCAGTACCCTGGAAGAAGCTAGTCGATCCTCAAAAGAAAGGTCAGTGGTGGCTCGGGACAGTCTCGAATGAAGCAGACGAGGCCGAGGTTCCAAAAGTGGTGGATCTGATTGACTCTGGGGTAGTCGAAGCTGAAAAAATGCTTAAGCTAGCAGCTGCTCAAAGAATGAACACAGACGCAAGACGAGCTATCTTCTCGATTGTCATGAGTAGCGAAGACTACATTGACGCATTCGAGAAACTACTGAGGCTCACCTTGACGGGGAAACAGGTACCTCTTTTTCGATTCATCAATTCACTAAGGCTCTTGGTTTTTTGTTTTCCTAACAGGACCGAGAAATCATGAGAGTCATCCTCGAATGCTGCCTCCAAGAGAAAGTTTTCAACAGGTATTACGCACTGCTGGCTTCCAAACTATGTCACCATGACAAGAACCACAGATTCACCTTACAGGTAGAAAAAAATCGAAGCGGAAAAGAATGACCAAAGGCTAAAAGTCCTTTTCTTTGCAGTATTGCGTCTGGGATCAGTTCAAAGAGCTGGCCAGCATGGAAGCAAGGCGCAGCATCAATCTGGCCAAGTTCCTCGCTTTCCTGGTCGGATCCTCCGCCTTATCCTTGACAGCACTCAAAGCGGTAGACTTTGGTGATTCCCGGACCATGACAGCACGGGTGGTGGTCCACTTCCGTGCGTTCTTCGAGGCACTGCTCACGGACAAGGACGACGCCTTCGTCTCCACGGCATTCTCCCGCATCGCTCGCGCACCCGAGCTCTCGGCGCTCCAGGCCGGCCTTGCCGTGTTCTTGAGGCGCTACGTGAAGCCAACGGGTGGCGCTTTGCTACAGCGAAAGTGTCTCATCGCCAGGAAAGCTTTGTCGTCCGCCACGACCATTTGATGTGGACGACGAGAAGATCATGATCATCGCTCCATCGCGACCGAGCGAGGGCGACCTTTTGAAACACCGTTATCTCTGCGCGAGATTTCTCGATCGCTCACGTCTTCTTTCAAAGACTCGAATCGATTGAATCGATCCGCGAGAGAATCCCCAAAAGACTTTGACGCGCGCGCCAAAGTGTCAATGGTTGAATTTAAAAGCGCCGGATATTCCACCGGATATGCCCACATTTGGCGGAGGACTCGCTTAAATTAAACCATCTTTAAGCCGGGAGTGAATATTCCCTCTTTCCTTTTTGGCTTGCATTGTTGTTCCTATCGCTTTGGTTTCTTGCGAGGGTTTGTTCTTGCGGCCAAGCGCGCGCGCGACGCAGCCACTGCGGACAGCGGCAAGATCGAGATTCCGGTGGCGCTAGGCTAGTTTCCAGGCAGCAGGGTCGAATTCGAGCTCTCCGGCGCAGGAATCGAGATCCTGGCAGCACTGGTAAGCGAAATTTCTCTCGATTCTACCATAGGAAGTGCCTTTCTAGCGAAATTTCGGTGTGTCGAGAGAGATCCCGGCTAGGAATGCATCGTCTAGGCACTTCCATTTCGATCTCGCGGCAGTGTTCTTGATGACCGTACATTTCTGGATCTTTGATGCTAAAAGGAGGGGATTTCTTTCGATCTCGCAGGTGGGGGCGAAGCAATGAGCTTAGCGTGCCTCGCATGCCATGTCCTGGACAGCTCCCCGGAGCGAACGCTGCGGAGCTACTCCGACAATGGTGGGCGATGCCTGGGCTTGGGCTGCTGGACGAGGAAGCTCCCCAATGCCGCTCAGATCGAGCCCACCGTGTCCTCCATGTCGGAGTCGGAGCTTGGATCGCGGACGAGATCGCAGCAACAGGTTGCTCCAGTGCCCGGCTCCTCTTCCACCATCGTCGTCGCCGCGGCAGCAGCGAACTTGGTGGAAGCGCCCAGTAGCCCGAGATTGACGAGATGCCATGCTGTGCGGAGGGATTTGTTCCGGGACTGGAATTTCGAGGAGATGAGCCGGCAGCTGTGCATGAATCTCAGTGGAGCTGCTTGAGACGAGACGAGCGAGCAGTGGCACACAGGCTGTGGAGATCGACTGCTGGCAAGAACACGATGATGCTGGAGAGGTCAGTCTGTAAAACTCTATACCGATCAGACCAGGTACCAGGGATTTTTCTTTTTTTTCTTCTTCTTCTTCCTTGTTCTTTTCGCTATAGTTCGTGAGTGATCAGATAGACAGAGATCGAGGGCAGGAGCATTTAGCAGCTAAGAATTCCTTTGCGGGGCATTGTTTTTCCCTTTTCTCTGTGCGTGTTCTTCGCAGCTCTTTGATTGTGTTCTAGACTAGCTCTGTAAAGAACGAACAACTTGGGGCCTTTTCAGCAGCCTTGATAGATCGATCGAAAGCAAAAAGTAAGCGGAGACTTGGCTTGATCGTAATGAAAGTCTAGTAGTCGAAGATCTTGATCGCTGGAATGCTCGAAGATTTGACGTAAGAGAAAGACTTACTTACGCTAAAGCTGACTTTGTACAAGAAAGGACACTGGCCATTTTTGTCGATCAAATCGATCAGAGATCACATGGTTTTTGGTGGGGGAATAATCTTCATGTGGTTGTGAGAGATTCGGTAGAGATTCGCTAGAAATAAAATTTAACTTTAGGGTTTATACCTGTTGAGCTAGGGCAGGGCGGAGAGGATGAGCAACGCGGCTGGAGTGAATCCCACCGTCGCGGAGAAGGAGATGGTAAGCGATCGATTCTTCCGCTGGATCGCTGGACGATCGTATTGCCGCAGATGTTCAATATGGCGCAGCAGGAACTGGAGTCGAGAGTGGATCTGTTCAACAAGTAAGAAAGCAAAGAGGAAATTCTCTTCTTCCTGTGTCACTGAGCCTTTTGTGAATGGTAGAATGACGCTTTCGTGCTTCAACAAATGTATTGGAAGCAGGCGAGTCTTTTTTTTTCTTTCTCCGTCGTAATTTCCTTTCCATTTTCACTGATTCCTTTTCTTCCTTTTCTGCGAATGTAGCTTCAAGGAGTCGGAATTGAATATGGGCGAGAATAGTTGCATTGATCGGTGCACTGCCAAGTACTGGCAGGTTTGTTTTCTTCTCCTTTTTTTTTCCTCTCCTTTTCCGTAGCGACAGAGTTTTGCTTCGCAGGTGACGACGATTATCGGCCAGCTTCTCGGCTCTTCAAGGCCTCCAATGTGATTCTTTTGACGAACAACGCGGCTGCGACGCCGAAAGTTTTGTTTTCCAGGTTTTGTTAATAGTGTAGCACTCGTAAGTTGGGCAATCAGGCTAGAACCCCGTGTTGCTCGAGCTCCATTCTTTTTCTTTTCCTTCCACTACCACACTCTTTGTTTGTTTCGTGGCATTTGCGTCTGTGTTGCTCTCTGCATGGGTGTTTGACTTTTCCAGGAGCGTTTTTGTATCTTAATCATCCAGTATCTTATGCACTTCACTTTGGCAGTTTTTCCTCTCCACCTTTGCCTAGCTGTCGCAGTTGCAGGCATTTATTTTGGCCTCTGCCACCCCTCATTACTGACCATATGCATAGCATGCCCACTGAAACAAAGTTTTTTGAAAACCGAAGCTATGGTTATTTGGCATTTGATGCTTCTTTGGAGTCCTCGCGGCGTCTCGCTCGCACTGATCTACTTCACTTCTTGGTTTTATCGGTCAGTTAAGGAGGAGAGGAGAGCGTTCTCGCTCCCGTCTCGCGACAAAGCCTGGCATGGCAACAGCAACAACAGCGAAAAAGGCTCTTTTCTTTGCTTTCTCCTTGAAATGGTGACTTATACCTCTGCTGTGCCAGTCTATCTAGTGCCGATTCCGAGGAAGGGATAGCGAGGAGAGGAGGCACCGAGGGTGTTCTGTCTCGTGTACCCGCTCTCGCCTTTCCTCTCTTCCACGAGTTCTTAGCCCCCGGAAAAAGGTGCGTACTGTCTTCTTTTTTTCTTTTTGTTTTGCGCTTTGGACATTGCATTGATGGGTTCATGTAGGTACGAGCTCATCTCCATTGTCGGTGGTAGTGCTGCTCTCTCTCGCGAATGGGAACCTCTGTGCGGCATTGGAAGCAGCGGCTGGTTTTAGTGTGCTTAGCGCTTGGATCGGTTTGCGGTCAGCTGGCATTTGATTTCTACGCCAACAGTTGTCCCAGGGTCGAAGCAGTAGTCGCAAACGCAATCAGGAGTGCCACATTCTTTGATTCTACGCTGCCACCAAAACTTCTCCGGCTTATGTTCCACGATTGCTTCATTGAGGTACAAACTCGCAAAGCAGTCCAAATTGTCATGGTTTTTTGTTCGTCAGGGATGTGATGGTTCCATTTTGGTCGATTCAACCGCGAATCATACGGCTGAAAAGGAGGACGAATCCAACAAAACTGTTGATGGTTATGCTGCCATCGATTCTGCAAAATCCGCGCTGGAGTTCTTCTGCCCTGGAGTTGTTTCGTGCGCTGATATTGTGGCCTTGGCTGCTCGGGAGGCGGTAATCATGGTAAGTCGAAACGTAAAATTGCGTTTTCTATCTCACTTCGTTTTCTGTTTTCAAATTGTAGATGGGTGGACCACAGGTACAAATACCTATGGGCCGAAGAGACGGGTTGATTTCTAAGGTTTCCAATGTGCGTGGAAACATACCGGACACTACACTTACCTTGGACCAGCTCACCAAAGTCTTCAACTCGAAAGGATTGTCTCAAAAGGACCTCATCGTTCTCTCAGGTATAAAGAAGTTTTCGTTCGAAGTCTTGTTCTCAAGTGGATGGATTTTCCAGGAGCGCACACCGTCGGCCTGGCACACTGTTTTGCATTCAACGAGCGCTTCCACTTCAGCAGCAATGGCAGCGTCAAAGTGGACTCGACACTCGACCCCGGATTCGCAAGGCAGCTGCTCCAGGCGTGTCCTGAGAGGCCGAATCCCAGAGTCGCGGTAGCGATCGATCCCACCACCCCAAACGCCTTCGACAACGCGTACTACAGGAATCTCCAGAACGGGAAAGGACTGTTTGGATCCGACCAAGTTCTCTTCACGGACCGGAGAAGCAGGCAGGCGGTGAACTCGTTGTCGGGCGACAGCCGAGAGTTTTTCGGGTCGTGGGCGGACTCGTTTCTCAAGCTCAGCGTTGTACATACCAAGACTGGAAACCAGGGAGAGGTTAGGAGAAGGTGTAGAGCTTTCAATTAAATATACAGCTACGTAAACCTTCTATCTATACTCGTGTCTGATATTCTTCGAATTCTTCGAATTTTTTATCGCCATTTTTTTCTTTAAATATTTAGATCTAAACTTCTTAAATGCATGAAAAGAATCTCTAGAATATTCTCATCTGGGAATATTTTTCTAATTCTGGTTATGTGAATATTTGATGAAAAATAAATGTTATTACTCCTACTTTAAACACATGCATGAGAAATAGCTCACAAGTAGTGATTTCTTTGGCAGTTCTTCCTGAAAGGTACGCGAGAAACGAGTTTTCCTCTCTTCCCCCAGATGCCGCAAATGGGCATTACATGGAACCTTTAGAATATTCTAAAACACCATCTATCTATCTTTGCTCCGCGAGGACGACGAGGAGGCCTTGTTGGCCAAGGAGGACCTCATTGAGCAAGCTGAGGAGCGCAAACCAGGCCACGGGCGCCATATCCACGCCGCCAATGGGCTGTATGATCTTCCTCGTTGGCGCCAGCACGGGCTCGGTGGGTGCGAAGGCGATCACATACGGCAGCTTGTCCACCGGGATCCTTGGGTACCACGACATGACGATCCGGGCAATGAAGAGCACGTTAAACGACGCCATGGCCGGTCCCAAGACATTGATCGCCAATCTGGCCACGCCCGGATCCACCAAGTCGGGGCTCGCCGCCGCCGCCGCCACATCCAGATTTGCCCACAAGAATGTAGTCGTCGCTGCCACCGCTACCGGGAGAATCGATCCAATTCCCTTGCTGCTGCCGCTCCTGGCGATTTCTATCCGACTTACGGGGATTTTGGTGGAATTGCGGCATGGGTGGCGTGTTCTTCGTTGCGAGGGAAGCAGTGCCACCACCGACAGCAGCACAGAAGCCATAGAATTAAAAGCGCGGGGGACAGGACTTGAACGTCGGACTTCTTGGTACTTTGGGGAATATTTTCTTTATTCTGGGATTTGAAAAATCCTTCACTTGGTTTTTCTTTGTAAAATCCTCGGAACAAGGACTTCACTGGCAACAGCCTCGCACATTTTATTCTTTTTTCTTTTCACTATTCTTCTAAAGTAGTATTATAGTCAGTGATGGACCAGTGACCACCCTTCCAAATGTTGGACTTTCGGAGCATGACGATTGCAAGCGCTTTTCCTCTTTTGCCTGTGGAGATCTCCAAACACACCAACCTGTAAATCGCATATCAAGTGCTACACTATAGTTTATCCATAGGAAAATCTCCTTGTTTATAAGATCAAGCCTAATATTTATAATATCAAGCTTGATTTCTTCCATGCTGCAGACCCAAGCAGCACCAGCAGCATGGAAGAAATCATTCAATAGAAGCTTGTATACATTTCACCTCTCTTATATATATGATGAAACTGGCCATCTTGAGAGTTTTTACTATAGAGCTCCAACCTCCACTTTTGTGGAGCCAACCCAAAGCCAATGAATCAGTACTATATAGAGCACTGGAACAAATCAGTAGCAAACGAAATAACTATTTCGTCCATATAGTTTCCCTGGTGGTGACTGTGTACCTGTTCTTGAGGACGATGGCCACACTCCCACCAGTGTTAAATTGTAGCAGCAGCAAGCTCCCAGATCCTTAGAAGTAAATGGAAAAAAAAAATATAGAGTACCTAGAAGAAGAATGGATGATCCGATCCCACCAGAGTTTTAGCTGGGCGAGACGTGACGCCCAACTCAATCCAGCCCCCGGGTCCTCGGATGGATTATTTCTTTCTCTTTGGCTCCTCCTTGGTGATGTGATTTGCCCCCGCCTTTGTGTGTGTACTGTAAACGAGTGCATTCAAAGTCACTCATAGATTTCACCTCCCATGGAAGCTCCACAAGAGGTCCCCGTCGTTGGCTGACTTGTTGTTGGTGTAATCATGCTGCTTGCTCAACCGAAGAAGCAACGCAACGTCCTCCGAGTGATCGCTGCTCTCCTCCTGCCCGGGCGGGGGCGTGATCGCTTCCAAAAACCTCTCCTTTGATGGGTTGCCACCGCCGCCGCCGCCGCCGCTGCTGCTGTGCTGATCGTCTCGCTCGTGGCTCAGCTGAGCCGCCGCGAACTTGTCCACCATTCTCCAGTCCGTGACTGGTTGTTGTTGTGGCTGGCTTTCGTTCTGCCGCTGCTGCTGCGGCTGATGGTGCTGAAGAGATTGAAAGAGCCGGTAGTGATCGAAGGAGCTCTCAAACTGCGCCGCCGCTGGGAGTGAGAAGCTCGCTGGGAGTCCTTTGAAAGGCGCCAAGCTGCCCATTCGCGGGCTCTCCAGCTGCGGAAGAGTCTGGGAGAACGGGTCGTGCGGCAGCGCCGCCGCGAAGTCGGTCTCAAACTCTTGCTTGCAATTCAGCATCAGGTGGCTGTTGTTATAGGCGAAGTCCGTCACGAATTTGTTGGGCAGCTCCAGCTCCGGCAGCAGAGCGATCTGGTCGATGTCGTAGCCGCAGCTTATATCCCGATCAAGCACCTTGATGCTGTTGTTGCGCTTCTTGAAAACCCGGCAAACCACCCAGCCATCATCCTGCATTTCAGAGCCAAAACCAAAAAAATAAGAGGGTTATAGAAGAAAAAAGCTGCCAAGTACGAGAGGATCTTACATTGTTGTTGCTGCCACTGCTGCTGATGTCCTCCTCGAGCCTGTACTCGTGCATGATCCAGTCGGTCTTCTGCCCGTTTGGAGCTCTCCCTCTGTAGAAAACGAGCGTCTTCCTCATCCCAATGAGCTTATACTTGGCGTGGATTGCTTTGTCCCGCCCAGTGGCCTTCCAAAAGCCCGCGGCGGTGGCTCTGTTGGTGCGAGTTCCCGTGGGATACTTCTTGTCCTTGTGACTGAAAAAGTACCATTCGGTTTGTTCAGCTGATCCGATCTTACACTTCTCTGCCAAAATCGAAGAACAATGAAAGAGGTGTCAGTGGTGTGCAATCATATCGAAATGGAGGAGACTAGACTACCGTGCAAGTCCCACGGCTCGAGTTTGTAGAGATCGATCTCGTGGATGACGTCCAAGTCGATCTTCTTGGAGGCCACCTTCTTCTGCAAGTAGTAGCCGACCAGCTCCTCGTCGGTGGGATGGAATCGAAAGCCCGGCGGCACGCGAGAGCTGCTGTTGCCCGCCGCGAATGGAGTCATACCTAGGACTATCGATCGATGCGCTCGCGATTACACAAGAAAATCTGGCGCTGCGGCCCCGATTCCCTGGAAGAACTCTCGCTAGCTCCGAGTTCGGCGATATTATGAGAGATTGTGCCGCATTCAAGCTCTTGTTGCTTGGCTTGGAAGCAAATTCTTCCTCATTCCGCGCGGCGCCAAGAAAGATCACAAAGACTAGAGAGGAATAAGAAACTCCGACACAATCGATTCCCCGATCGCGAGGAGCCAAGCCGAGCGCATCCGAAATAATGACGATCGCGAGCTCTGGCAGGCCCGATCGACGGAGGGATGGACCGATCGAGCAGAGGAGGCGATAAACCCTAGCGCCTTGCGAGAGAAGAATGTAGCTCTCTTGCGAGAAAGAGTGAGCGCCAAGGAATGCCCCCGTGGCCCTAAAGAAGAAGAAGAAGCTTCCACGCTGAGAGGGGGGGACAAGTTTAACGCGCTTCTGCCCCCACATTCCTCTGACGGGCCGTCAGCACGTCACAGCCCGTCAAGGCCGTGACGTGGCATTGCATTCTCGGGCATTTGGACGTGGGATCGTCCACATTGGGAAAAACTGGCCCATTTCGATGTCATAATGGTTTTCTGGCCCATTACCTTATAGCATAAAAGTTTCAATGATATCTGTAGTATGAGAAACCATAGGTAGAAAAACCATGGATCCATGGTTTTCCTCTAAGATCCTTGAATTGATGTCAAGGATCTTAGAGCATATAATATGAGAACTTATAGCTAGCAAAACCTTGGAAAAATTCAAAGATCCCAGAGCACTAAGTTTGATCAATTCAAGGATCATAGAGCATATAGTATGAGAAACTTATAGCTAGCAAAACCTTGGAAAAATTCAAAGGTCCCAGAGCACTAAACTTCCAAGAACACCAACACTGAAACGCTGGATCTTGCTTGTGCCAAGGAGTTTCACAGCCCGGCTTTTGCGGGCCACTGTCTGCTGTTCTCTCGGCCTCTCCGGACTAGAAAAACCAAAAGAAAGCATCGCGAGCGATTAAACAACGAAGCACATATAAGCTTAAGAAAAGCGCTCACCGAGAAGCATTTGATGATTTTGACTAATCGTTCTCGTCTCTCACGCATTGCAAAGCTGGCTGATGTCAAGGATTTGAGTGCAGTCGACGATAATCTCGTGTTGAATTACGGCCTGCAACCACGTGCAACTCCAGAGGGTCAAAATACATCCACATGATTGAGAGAAACTCACCACTGTCGCGATCGAATATCTCCACACTCGTATAAACTCACAGAACCGATGGGTGGTCGATCGAGCGAACAAAACGCTGTCTGTGTGCTGCCCCTCGCATTTAAAGAGAATAGAAGGTTTGTTCCAAGTCAGCGCGCAGCAAAGAACCGTATGGATTCATACCTCTCGCCTTGTGCTCGCTGGAAAACTTCTTATATTTCGCGAGGAGCTCTGTGCTGTGTGTGCTGCTGCTGTCACGCTAGAACCTATCCAGACAGGATCAAAGCAAAGTCAGCGACGAGACGTGGCATTTCGTCCCGACAGGTCAGCGTGTTCTCTGGAAAAGAAAAAACAGAAGCGAAAAAGCCGAGAGAGAAAAACCAAAACCAAAACAAAAACAAAAATACTTGCTTTGCCGACGAACAGAAAATAGTATACCCGACCAAAATCCTCTCACAGACTCAAAAAAATTCCTAGCTAGTCTAGGTAGCCTACTCCTGCCAAAGACCAGAAACAAGGAACTGTTCAGAAGCAAGGACAGGATCAAAAAGGATTACTGCTCACCTTTGGCACGGTTTGCTTGGCTTCCTCCTAATAGGAAACGAATTAAAGTAATGAGTAAGGGAAGGGAAAAACCCGAGCGACGTACCTTAGCATCAAATTCCTCCTCATCGTCAGTCACCTCGTCGTCCTCGTCTTCGTCTTCCTCATCCTCGTCATCCTCGTCGTCTCCCGCCTCATCGTCAGATTCCACTGCCTCGCCGGTGAACCACGAGACGGCATGAGGAACAATCTTGTCGCGAATTGTGGCACTGCAAATTAAGGTTGTTGTTAGCATGGTTGCGAAACTTTGATCCCGACTATAGTTCTTACCCCACGTCGTAGTCTTGTTCCATGAGATCTTGAAGCTCCTCGGCCTAAAGAAAGAAGTTATGCACACCTTTTAGAAGAGATGATAAAAGATCGTACCTCTTCAGGATCAATCTCCTCCTCGTTTTCTGGGATTTCAGGGGGGTTGAAAAAGTTAAAAAACGTCTCGCATGCCTGCAACTTTGTCTGAGGGGTGGTGTCCTTGGCGCCTTTCTTAGGCTTCTTCTTCATCAGCTTGACAGTCAGGTCCTTCCCGGGTTTCCAGTCGATTTTGGTTCTGAAAAATAAATATATTGTAAGATAGTAAAGAAATGAAACCACGTACCCGACTGCACGCTCCAGAATCGGCTCGTCGTCATCCTCTTCCATGTGGTATTCTTTAGTCAGCTGTGAAACAGTCGAGATCAGTACAGAACGTGCACATTAAAGAACACACTTACGACACTGTTCGTGAAGTAAGGATTCTCGTCGAAGTAGAACTCCAGCTTAAAGCCTTTCGGACTGCTCACGTAGTACGACTTGATATCCTTCAGATACTTCAATGCTCCCTGATCTCTTTCAGTGATCTAGAACAGGAGAAACGAAAATGTGCCGTTAGATTCTACAGAAAGATGATGAAGCATACAACACAAAACCTGGACTGCCACAATCTCGTTTGCCTTCAAAGCTCCAAGCCAAAACTCCGGCACGCCGTTGCTCGCGGCTACATACTCTAACTGGTCAATGAATTCCACAAAGAAAAAGGGGGAAATGTAAAGAAAACCAACCTTCGTCCGGTTTTGTTTCCTCTGCTGAAGAAGCATTCACAATGCTCGCTCGCTGCGAGCATTCAAAGTTAGAAAAGAAAGAGACATCTCGTTTTACCTTCTCGTATAGCGGAGCATAGAGATTTTGATATTTCGTGATGAGCTCTTCCCTCTCTTTCTTGAATTTCGCCTCGATCTCGTCATGCTCTTTCTGGTCCGAGAGGAAAAAATCATTGGGCGAAAGAAAGCAAGGCTTCTCTCACCTGGATCTCTTGAAGCGAATTGACGCGCTGCTTCACATCCTCGGGGAGCGATGCAAGATGCTCCGCAACGCGCGCCGACGGAGCTAATCAATCAAACCGATCAAGAAAGAAGAGATTGAGAAGCACCGGAGAACCTTTCACAGCAGGATCTGGTTGATCTGCATTGCTCATCCTGAATTCGAATGGACGATCCCCTGGGACGCCCTTCTCGCCTCTTTAGGGTTCTTCCTAAAGAACACTCACAAAGAATATCCTTATAGCAATAAGGTTTACTGATTTGGCGGTGGTTATAATAATAGCGGCTGATCGAGGGCCTGGATGTTGCCACATGTCGCCATGCCAATGCTTCTAGGGCTCTTATCTCGCAAGGAGGGAAATATGGAGGCCGCATTGGTGATCGGCTCGAGCGCGCATTGTTCTTGCGTGATTCACAGCCTCAGCAGCTCTGCTCAGATCGTCCAGAGGAGAGTCGTCGCTAATCGGCTTCGCACCGTCAGGTTTGCTCTCAATGGCGGAGCTCGCGGCAACAAGAGCACGAATTCCCGGCCCTCAGTCTCATCGGCACCTCCTCTCACGTCGGAAATCTCCCAGAATTCGAAGAAAATGGCAGTGGAATCATCGTCTTTGTGGCGGAAACTACTCAAGAAGGTCTTAGTTTCACTCTCGTCTTTCAAACTGGCGATTGCCGAGCTCGTCCTCATCGCAGCACTCTCGTCCATAGGTACGCGAATTTTTTTCTCGCTTGTAAAGATTCAAGTTCTATCTACTGCTTTATCCCAGGTACTGTGATCGATCAAGGCGGAGTTCCGGAGTTCTACTTCAAGGCTTATCCAGAGGATCATCCTTTCTTGGGGATTTTTTCTTGGAAGGTTATACTTGCGCTCAACTTTGATCATATCTACACGGCTCCATATTTTCTGGGCTTGCTCGCATTGCTGGCCGCTTCGCTCGTTGCGTGTACGTCGACGAGACAAGTCCCACTGGTGAAAGTTGCTCGAAGGTTTTTGTTCTTCCACCTCTTTTTCTTTCTTTTCTCTTCTCCTGATTAAAACATCTTGCATGCAGGTGGTCATTTATGAAGAACCCCGCGGGCATTTTGAAAATGGATGCAGCAGAGACTCTTCCTGACGCGAGTCTCGGGGAACTTGGTGTCTTGCTATCCGGAAATGGCTATGAGGTAAGCGCTCAAAGTTCAATCATATAGCTTCATCACGTAATAGAACTCCTGTGCAGGTTTTCTCCGAAGGCTCGTGTTTGTACGCTTTCAAGGGCCTTGCAGGAAGGCTTGCTCCGATTGGTGTCCATGCCGCGTTGCTACTTATAATGGGAGGTGGCCTCGTTAGTGCTTTAGGAGGTTATCATGGAAGCGTGACAATTCCAGAGGGTCTCGACTTGAGGCTGGGCGATGGTTTAAATCCGAATGGCATCTTGGCCACACCATCTCCGACCATGGACCTTAACATACACGTCAATAAGTTTTACATCGAGCAGTATCCCAATGGTCAGGTAAGCTACGCCAAATCTTCAGTGGAAACAAAGCATGAGTTGTGGTTGTTTCAGGTGAAACAATTCTTTTCCGATTTATCTATCACAGACGCAAAGGAGGGCGAGCTTCTGAGGAAAACAATCAGTGTAAACAACCCGTTACGAATCGCCGGTGCCACCATTTACCAGACTGATTGGGGAATATCGACAGTATTAGTGAGAATCGATGATTCTGAGCCTTTCAACCTCGCGATGGCTCCGCTGCGAAAAGGTGACAACAAGCTTTTTGGAACGTTAATTCCCGAAGGTGTTTTGAACTCCAAAGGAATGTAAGTTCTCCGAGCCTTTAGCGTTTATCTCGTGATGATGCTGTATGTTCTGCAGATCTATTTTAGCACGGGATTTAGAATCTGTGGTGGTGTATGACAAGAAAGGAGAGTTTGTGGGTGTGAGGCGAGTTGGATCGCAGAAGCCGATTGAAGTGGACGGTGTAAACCTTGTTGTGGACGATATGATTGGCAGCACAGGCCTTGAAGTGAAGGTAAGAACCATTGTAACTACAGCAACTGATCCTGTTCTACGCTTTTCTTTTCAAATTCTTACAGATGGATCCAGCCGTGCCCGTTGTCTATGCCGGTTTTGGTGCACTCATGTTTACAACGTGCATAAGTTATCTCTCTCACTCTCAGGTTTGATTCAAGCTCCCTTTTTCATATCGGATTGCACGTTTTCTGTTCTTTTTCTTTTTCAGATTTGGGCCCTCCAAAAGGGAAGCTCAATTATAGTCGGAGGCAAGAGCAACAGAGCAAAGCTTTCGTTCGAGCAAGAGCTAACGGGGATTCTTGATTCGGTCCCCGAACACGTACCAAACAGCGCTGCCAAATAGAAAATGACAAGACGGGCGAGGTCAACGAGCTAGAAAGAAAATCCTGGTAAAAAGCAGCGGACATTACTTTTGTTTTTTGAAAAACTTCTTGGCACGCAGGCTAGAGGAGAGGAGAAGGAGAACGCTCAAAAGGATGAGAGGTATTCATGTGCTGTATGTGGTGGTAGTCGCCTTGCTCTCGCCACACTACGCTTGGTCACCAGCAGTTTGCCATAGCCAGCTATGGAAGGCCAAGAACAAGCTCCGGCTACCGAATTCTGGATGCTCCAAATGGCTATCAGCTCAATGCGCTACTTGGGCTGCCTCGCCTCCACCGGGTCCTTCAAACGACGACGAAGACACTATTGCTCGACGCTGCGCAGCGGATGTGTTAGCTTTACTGGGTGGAAGTGAGGCGGAAAAATCAGTGACAGAATCTCGAGCTCAGGAGCTTCTGTCGTCCATTCGCTTTCTAGCTCCACCAACGCTGAGAAGCTCGTCATACCGGTCCACGGGAGTTTCTCGAGTAGAAAAGCCAGATTCCAAGGAGCGAATGTGGAGGTTGATAAGGGAACCTCCGGCTTCTGTTGCGAACTTAGCCAGGAAATCCGTGGAATGGGCTGGGGAGCCTGACGCTATACTAGCGGAGCTGGATTCGGCACTTCACAAGGTAGAAGTTGGTATTTTTCCTTCGAATCTTCAGCTGAAAATTTCGTCAGGTCCCCGATGTTGAGAATTCGAACGCTAGCAAGTGCGTGCTTACCAAGCACGATTGTGCCAAGCGTTTTGTTGATCAGGTTCGTGTCCTCCCATCATTTGAAGATAAAGCACGCTCTTAACTATGTGTGGCTTGCAGGAAATCAACTCGTACATGGCATTCCTATTTGAAGCAATTGTTGCTCTAGCTCCCTTGGCAGGTTTTAACGTTTCTTTAAACCGCTACGATCTTTTCCATGGCCACATGTTTACCGCTTACGGCACTGGAAGGCTCGGTATTCTGTAAGCTTGCCTGCTCAAACGCTAGTCACCATGACTGAATGTTTGTAACTTTGCAGGTTTCATTGTCGAGAGTACCCCGAGTATGACAAGAACAGCTTTGCCTTGAACCTCGGCTATTGCCAAACGGGTAAGCGAATGCCTCAATGCAGCGCCTTACAGCATTTGACAGGATCATGCGTTCCTTACGACAGCAGCATGAACTTAAGAAACATTGTCTGGCTCGCACCAATGCCGTCGTGTACCAGCCACAAATGCTCGACTAAATGGCTCGCACCAGGTAACTCTTGGACTGCAAATATATTAACATCTTGGATTGCAAAATTTGCTTGAACTGGTTGCAGGTGCGCTCTTCATCTTGGATGCCAAGCCTGGTGGCGTTGTGTTTAAGGAGCTCGTTTCGGAATGGGTTGATGTGGTCAGAACCATCTACGAGAGTAAGTGTGTTTGCGTTCCTAGCTGATAGATTCACCGCACTGTGTCTCTTTATTTTTGTTTCAGGCGATTTTGGGAGAACTGTGATTGATGTTAATTATTTCAACGTGGAGGGTTGTCAAATCTTCCTCACATAGTTGTATTGCCATGAGCATTGGTGCCGATTTAGAATTGCTTCCATGGATTGTGAAGGTTCCATGAGTGAAAAACCACAGGCCAAATGTAAGGGGATATACCAAAATTGCAGCTCAAAGTCCAGCTCAAAAGTGAAGATTTTTCCCATGAAGTCAGTGGGCATTTGGTCTAGTGCAAGTCTGGTCTGCTAAAACAAGCCATGCAAGCGTCTTGTTGTTGGCTGTGACCCCTCCATACCAGGCAAACACCGTTGTGATCCATCTTCACTAGGAATCTCTCTGCGTCTTCCAGCTCTCCGCTACGCTATATATTAGTAGCGCATTTCTCACGGCCGAGCTCGAGTCAGCTCCCATTTCAAATATTCTACCTCCAAACTCGAACAAGCTGCTTACGAGCAGAGCCCTCGACCGTTGGACACGCACCCCGATCAACCTGGCCGCAGTGCCTTACGACTGCTGCCCACACCAAACGAATGCTAACGCGGGAATTGACATGAAGAGAAAAATTATTGCTCCGTTCTTTACGCAAGGGTTCAATCTTTCTCCATTGCCGACTCCTTTTGGCCCTCTTTCGACAGTACAAACAAGGTTTTGGTGATCAAGATGATATTCTCTCAGCTTTGTGGACTCGGAAACCCACCACTTTTTAGCCTTGAATCCATTACGGCCAAACCACCATTCCGAGTTTTCATTGCCTCCATCGGTTATTGAAGTCGTTGCATCTGCAGGTGGCTTGGTATGCATCACCATGGAGCCCATGCAAGGCCTGGATCGCTCTCTCTGAGGATGTGTTTCAGCTGGGGGTAGGCAATCCAGTGTCCCGGTACCACCGCTCCATTGGGGGGACAAAGAAAGGTATCTTGTGGGAGCGATCGACTTTGCCATGTTTGTCGACAAGAATGTCGGAATTCACTACACCGCCCCCCAATGCCTCGGGCCAACTGGTGCTGCATCTACAACTCGGCAACACGCGCGTGGTCTTCACTCCCCAAGCTCCCATTCTCGCCAGCCTACAACATGACGAGTACACCGCGGGATAGAGCTTAGCGCCGGGAGGAAGGTTTTCTCCGCCGGCGGTATTCCCAGACTTGGATAGTTACTTCTACGACCTTAGTATCCTAGGATTGTACGACTTTGGCCGCACGAAGTGGACCACCGGGGAAGTTGTGCGCAGCCTGAGAATTACAACGGGCTTGGAAGGAGAGATCTTGCGCTGTTCGCGCATGATGAGGCTGTGGGAGCACAATGGGCAGCAATACTTTGCTAGCGGCTGGGTGTATGCGGGTGGCTACTCCGAGCTAGTGTACCCAATACGAGGTGATGGTT